TCTGCTGTGTCCTCAAACCCAAACCCACTGCTTCCTACTGAAGAATACATTTTTAATAATGAGTGGCAAATATATACATTTGTATAGTTGTATTTTGAAAAAAACAACAACAGTGAATAGAGCATTTGTGGGGACTATTTTCAGTGTCAGATTTATACACATTTAGTGAGTAGTGTATGTGGGATTGACTCAAAATAAACTTCTGTGTGTGTGTTACATGTCTGGCAGTGAAACGCTGTGACTCACTGATGTGTTTTAAATAGTTGTTGGAAAACAAGGGAGTTCTGTGGCACAGAGAAATAAGATTCACACACAGACAAGACTTGTCTTCATTCACTGTGGTTTTGGTCTATTACTTTAAGTAAGTAAAAAAAAATATATTCTTTAATGTAGAACGTTTTGCAATAATTACACTCATAAGTCCTTAACTCATTTTAAAATATTGGAATACCTTAAATTATCATATAATAATTTAGTTAAATTATATTTATTTTAGTTAGGTGGTTAATTTTTACTTATTTATCGTCCTTGAAGCAGAACCTGACAAATATGATGTTATTTCAATTTCAGCAACATACTTTTTTTTAGTCTCTGTCAACCAGATCAAAGATATGAATCCAAATGGAAATCCAAGGGAGATACAGAGTGAAAAGAAGCCCCTTTAGTTTGTCAAATATGTGGTTAGCTTTTTTTTAGATAAGCTGTGCTGGATCTTATGTATCAAAACCTGTTTGAACACATTTGAATAAAAATATTTGTTACTTATCTGACGTGTAGCAACTTCATCCCAGAAGGACTGAAAATATTAAAATATTTTGACGTATTGATGGTACAAGGGAACAAGATGTGAACAACAAACAGAGGCTCAGGGAAAAGAGTACTGTCAGGAACATAGGCCTATATAACTGTTGTAAAGTAGGTACAACATGGTACTTCAGAAGCCTGAGGTGGCTCAGGTTTATGTGGACTGACACTTTTGTTACACACAGTGATATTTTATTATGTTGAGCGTTTATCTCACAGCCAAGGAAGTTGTAGAAGATGATCGAAGCTGTCCCAGTGTGGCTGCCATTTAGTTTGAACCTAAACCTTTAAAGCAGTCCAGAAGGATGTCATAGAGCAGGAGAATGCAGTTTTCCGTGTTCGCCATCTTGGATCGTGCCCTTTATTGCTCACTCCATCGCACTGATGGTGGACTCAATGTGTTATGTGTTCTAACGGCTTTGGACATGGACTTGGACTGTCGTCGTGTGTTACCTTCCTCCTGCTTTTCTCAATCACTGTTGTTCCTTTCAGACATGCAGTGTTCCTCTCCTGATATTGTCCTGCTCTACTGACTGCGTTTGGCACAATTCATAACATGTGTCTCCTGCACCCAAAGTGCCTTGGATAAAACTGCATTGTTTTTATGAGGAGACATTTCCATGTTTCATCTTATTGTTTTATTCAGTTGTAGTATATATACAACTTTCCCTAACCCTCTCCTGAGAATCCTAAGCATGTTTGAACTGCACTGTTATTACAGTGTTTTGCATTAAGGCTCTGGGTGGATCTAGAGTCCAATATCAAAGACCAAGTACAAGTTATTTTGTGCAAGAAATGCGTTTTTGCTTATTGCTATTTTTTCAAGAATGTACAGTAGTAAATGTTAAACTTCAAGGATTTCGTCAAAGCAGGTAAAACGATGTACAAAATCCTTTGATCAGAAATCAGATTGTAGGAATTATTATGTAGAAAAAACATGCCAAAAGTCAGTGTTGTGAGACCTGTTTGAGCAGGTTGACTGAACATGAAAACACTGCAGAGTAACTGAATATACTGAACATTATTAAAGATCTTTAAGTTGACGATGAACGATGGTATTGTAATGAGAGTATTTATTATTGGATATGCTGCTAGGTCCGGAGTTTACCATGAACCCTGAAGCTGTAGACGCACGTGTGGTCTATGTTTCCCCAGTTGTTCTCTATCTGTAGCTTCACGTGGCTGAAGACACCTATGTCTGGATTCTGGATAGAGAGAGAAATGAATAAAGAGAGTCAGACAGACATCAGAGGTAGAGATGACAGGTTGATGCACCTGTGTGGACCTCATGGTGTTTGCATCTAGTTTTAGTAGCGACTCCACCTCTAGCTATAACACAGTTAGTTTAACCACCGCAGTTTGCAGCAATTAATGTGGCAGGAAAAGGTTTTATCCTCAGAAGATCACTAAACAGTTAAAGCTCCTATACAAGGACATATGTACTGCAATGATCTGGTAACCGTCACAGTGTTATTGAATTAATGTTCATTCAGGAGAGTTATGCTGTATCACTGATACTCACAGGCAGTGCGAAGGTCTGAAATGCTTCACCGTCCTGATCATAAACTTGTTTCCCTAAATGGGTGCCTTCCTCGTCCGTATTCCTCATTCCCTAGAGTAGAAACCAGAGACAGAGATCAGTTGAACCTTTTGTTGTGCACTGTGTAAATGACCTATCTAGGATCATGACACCAAATGTCTGACTCACATAGATAGAAAATTCCCTCGGTGCACTTGCGATGTAGCCGTGAGGGCACTGGCTTTTTGTTATGTGGCCGAGCGTCACATTAGTGATGGAGATAGGGTGGGACAGGGAGATGAATAAATGCCCTCGCTCGCCAGCAAACGACCAGCATTTTCCTGGTTTTAAGGAAGAATATCCCTGAGGGGAGAAGATTCAATATTTTAGTTTTCACGGTTCAACTGTTTCTCCTGTGTTATTTCATATGAAACACCAGAAGCTGCAAAAGTGTAATTACAAAACCACATCTATGAATATGGCTGTGTAATTCATACCTGGATCACATGCCGCTGTGCTTTGGCTGAATACCACCAGTAGAATATTCTGTCCCATATTATTCCAACGTCTTCTTGGGGCCAATATGAGTCAGAAGATAAATAATGCTTAACTCTAGCGCCTGCAAGCACACAAATCAAAGACACACATCCAAAGGTAGAAATCAACCTCCTCAACAAGTTCCACGGTGATGCTCATGTATGAATCATAATGAGACAGATAGATGATGAAGAGGACTAACCTTGTGATTCTAAGGCAAAATTTGGTGTTGTGTCTGCCAGAGGAGCAAATGTGTTCATCCGCTGTCTCAGTAACTGCATTTCCTGCTGGATTTCTATCATTTGCATATGCATGTGTGTGAATCCTGAAAGACACAAAGCAGAAAGGTTAGAAATATGATTTTTATTAAGAAGGAAGCTCTCAAAAACCTGGACCAGGGACTAAGACATGATTTTAGCAACGTTTGAAGTCACCCACCGAAAGCCAGAAGGAGCAGCAGGAGGAAACCGCTGATGAAATTCACACATGAGCTGGACGATGTTCTGGCTGCAGACAGAAACAGAATGTTTAAAGCTTGATAACAGACAAAACATCTGGCTCAAACTCTTATACACAACTGTGGTTACAGGTGAGAGGCAGTGCTTACCCTTGTTTCTCTTGGTCTGGGTCCCAGGAGCTGTTAAAGTGGCCTGTGTTTCAGTGGTCAACATCTGAGTAGCCTGAGTCCTGGTGGTACAAGTATTTGTGGCCTGATTCCCAGTGGTAGGTGTATTAGGTGTCCAGTTCTGTGTGGCTTCAACCTCAATAGTCAAAGCACTAGTGTCAAGCTTGTCTTTATTGTCACTGATGGTTCTGGGGCTTTCCTGGCTGTAAGCCGCATCTTCATAGTCATCATCAGAGTCATGTTGGTCCAATGAGTCATAGTAATTTATAGCGTTCATAATGGGGTGGCTACAACCTTTCTTTCTTCGAAAGATCCTAAAAGATACAACAGAAGTTAGAAAAGACTGATGCGTGCGAAGGTTTATAGTGTGGCAACCGCCCAGCATATGCACATACACACACACAATATGTGCACACAAACACTACAGCAGCTTACCTGTACAAGATCTCCCTGTAGGAAATAAGTGGAGTTCCTTCCTCTGTATAATATCCTGCTTCCTGCAGGCGAAGACTTTTTCTCAACATGACTGGAAAATGGTAGAAAGACAGAGAGACAAATAATCAGTGACACACATTGACACAGACACACACGCTGTTCTACAGATGGTGCATGTTGTTGCTATAAACAATAGAAAAATGTCATTAATGGCAGAACATTAAGTTTTAACAAGTTTATATGTCAAGTGTGAAATAGCTCTGCTGGTAACTTGCCTTCCATTTCTGTGGTGCAATAAATTAATTCCTGACTAAGAAGTAGTCGAAATCCTTGTTTAATGTTGTCAATAAATGGCTAATAAATGGATGAATGTTTTCCTAAATCAAAGCTTACAGTTATATAACATCTGAATGGTGCAAAGAGACTGATATGAACTATCTGGAACTCTGGGTGTTCAACTGTGATGAATGATTCTATTAGCGTCATAATGATTCTATAGTGAGTTTCTGGAACATCTGTACATTCAATATGTCAATTATGGAATAACACAAGTGATTCCTCCCACCTGATATACATATATTTTGAGATATATTTAGTTTAAAAAAGTGGTGAAAAATGCCTACCACTGAGATGAAGGTGACATACATAAATGTCTTGTTTTGTCTGACCAATATGATTTGTTATATTGATTTTAGTTTAAAATGGCATCACTGTCGTCCTCTCAATTTGCTTTACATTAATTTTCTTTCCGTCCTCTTTCTTGCACCTCTGGGCTCCCACTTTTGGACTATAAATGCACCTTGCATCAACTTTATCAGAGCATCAGAACATATTTATGATTACATTTTAATAACTGTTGCATTACCACAAAGGGTCATTACCAATCAGTGGTATCAAACAATAACACTAATAGCAGTTGGCTATTTTCTCAAAGACTTTACTAGACTTTACTAGACTTTAGTTTCCAGTAATTTCTTTGAAATATATTAATTTGTTACAACAAAAACATTTTAAAGCAAAGCATACAATTAGTATGGAGAACGTTTTTTTTTTTTAATAATAAATGACAAATCAATGAATATTTACTTGGATTTAAAATGATCACTTTTTTGAAAGACATAATAAATAAGTATTTTTTATAATTAGCACCCAATTTTAATAAGAAATCATTAAGACAGTTACTGTAAAATAAAGTGTTTTCAATTTTAGCAATGAGGAAAAAAAACTGTATGTGTATCTTAAACTGACTGAAGTATAGATGTAATATAGTCAAGTGTTATCTTTACGCTGTAGTGGTGCATTCAAACAAGACAAAATTGACTTTTTCTTGTTTGCATTTTTATTTTTTGTTTTTATTCTTCAGGTATTTCAATCACTTCCACATTTAACAATAATTAATAATACAGCAAGTTAATAATTGATATTGGAAAGCATAAAACAGTCAATCACAAGATCAACACATTATAACATTCAACAGGAAGAAATGTATGGTCTTGGTATACTAGAAACATCACACCAAGTCACTGCTCACCTGGGTACGGAAGCCAAGAATGGCTGCGCTTGCAATTGGCGTTACCTCGAGGTCACGAGTTAATCAATCTTGTGATCTCATGAAAACACGTCAATTTGTCAAGATAATGGAATAATTGAGAGGATTATAGAGAACTTGAAAATGAGTTTCTGGTTCATTTGATCAATCTTGATATCAGCCTGATGATCACTGTCACAACTGGTGCAGGATTCATAATTCAGCTGAAAAGAGCTGTTACCAGACATAAATCTGAGAGTTAATGATACAGTACTGACAAAATATATCAAGAGAAGACTGAGAATGATCAAGTCAGCTCAGAGATCCCTGCAGTGTCATGTTGATCTGTATGAAAATTAATATTTCATATTATTCCTCCATGCATTGTCCATTATCTATAATAAGCCATGATGGCATGGCACTTCCTGGATAAACATAATAAGAGGAAATTAACTTTTGTTTTCTCGTTGTGATAACAGGTTGTGTCATTATCTCAGGATGGCGAAGCTGGTTTTTTCTCAAGAAAATAAAATAATTAACTTGTGATCTCAACATAACGACATTAAGAAAATATAATTGCAAGCATGGCAGTACTTGGCTTCCGTACAGGGGTATGCTGTTAAAGTAAAAAGACAAATGCATAAACACAACTGATATAGTAATCTGTAAAAGCATTTTAACTCTGTCTCTCTTTTTCTCTTTTTTTTTTTTGCATTTCGTATGTTAGCACAGTCCTTTGTGTTTGAACGTAAGATATTAGTCAGTTGGACATTTTATATGTAAACTGAACCAAAGCAGCTGTAAAGTACTGTAAACCCAGTGCTCCCACAATCTCATGTGTCTTTCATAGCTGTATTTGCTGTTTATTGGCTGTTTGGTAACACTGTAACACTGCAAACATCACACCAAAATTTAAATCCTCTGGAATGCCATTAAAGCCACTCACTCACTTTATATTAAATGATGATGATCAATAATAACGGAAGACACAGTGAACTCGGGATGCACAGTGCCTTTACCAACCTGTAGCTCCTTCCTCCTGCAGTACATTTAATTGAACACTAGATGGAGCCAGAGACTGTGCAGGGGATTGTATATAGTTTTATACGCTGCGTACATTTTAAATCCATTATTTTTCAGTTTCTTCAACTTTACTACACACATTATATTAAAGACAGTGTGGCGTTTGACACATAGGGACACAACCCCGCTGTACTAGCTCCTGCCCCAGAGCAGTCGTAGTAAACCGGTTAGAGAGGTGTTGTGAAGGAAGTGGGTCTCCGCGTCCCACGCAGAGGAGGGTTTTCCGGTTAAAGTTTCCTTTGTGATTCGGAAGTGGTGGTGCGATGCCAAAGCTGTTTATCCTCACAGACACAACACACAAGTGGCGACCATGAAAAGTAAGCTCAAATATATACATTTAATAGATATCGAAACGGCATTAGCTACTTATAGTTCCCCTTTAGAGACGACGGCAACGTGACAGGCAGGAACGAGGCTGGCTGGCAGATATAGCATGCTAACGGTAGCTAGCTGTTAGCTAACTTGGGGTGTCTCTGTCTGTCTGTCTGTCTGTCTGTCTGTCTGCAGTCATTAGGGGTGCCGAGCAGGTTTCACATGTAGCCGGCGCTCGCATTAAGTATTTCGGCCTGTAGTTGGGAACCTTCCGTGCTCGTTTTGTCGTTACATTACAGTGTTTTCACTTAAAAGCTGCCTTCACACTGTTCAGGTTAACTCCCATCCAGACGAGCTAACAATAGCTTAGCATGTCTGTGTTTTGGACAGTGACAACTGTATGCTGCTGCCCCACGGCATCTGTGGAAAGGCCTCCTGCAACGTGGATTCATGTAGCCCATATGATCACTTCTCATTATTGCTTTTTTTGAACCCTCTTTTGCTCCACAATGCCCTGGTTACACTGAGACTGCTGCTCAGCACCATGACCCGGAGAGCTCAGGACCAGAATAAAGAACAGGGTTTGGGTGGGAAAGAGAGAAGATATCAGTTATTCCTTGCTGAAGGTTTGATTTTTGTATTTGCTTCCACAGAATCCCTCAAAGCTCTGTCCTGCTGAGATGGGAAAACGCCCCTTCAGGATTTAGTAATACAGGTAAGCAGCAACAAGCCTTGAACCACATCCGTTACCTCACTGCTCACTCACAATGTGTTGTAATTCTTGGTAGTGGTTTTCATGTGTGCGATGGTGAAACAAAGCAGCTGTCTGTAGGTGTGTGTCCCTGTACCTTGTGTAATTGTGATACATATCTGAAAGGCTAGTGTGGGCGTGTAGAGAGGAATGCTGGAGTGTCTCTTAAATGCACTGCAGCAGAACCGTACACGCTGCGTGTCAGAACAGCAGCCCTTCCATGGGAAAGTAAACGATGAAGCAACCGACGAGGCAGAGTGGGCATCTCCGGAAAGCCATCTATTTGAAATGGTTGGGTCGATGAGCTGCGTGACACCTGATATCCAGGTCACTGTAGAGTTTCTGGGCCCTTGTCAGGCGACATAATGGAGGCATCGCTGTCTGCACGACAAGAGATATGAGGCAACACACACACACGTACTTTCTCGTGCCTCGCGGTCTTTGATATGTGTGTCAAAGTGATGTGTTGCACTGAGAGATCACATGTTGCCCAGAAGCCACTAAAACCATTATCTTGCCGTCACGTCGTCGCAGCAGCTCGCACCGCTGTTAGGTAGTGTGCCACGGTATATGCTTGTAATGCATTGGGTCATTTCTCCCGGTAACGTTTTGCCGTACTGCAGCAGTCTGACCCCTCACCGTTCACTGAATGCTGCGTTTTAACACCACTGAATTTGAATGTTATTTCCTTCCCTTTCTAAACCGGTTTCCCAGTTTGTTTTTCTGCGTCTGAGTGGAAAGGCTCGTGACTCCCTCTGCTAGACTTGTTGTCGCTGCTAACAATATAACATGCGATTTCAGGGCTGTAATGTGAAAAGGCTGTAATATGTATGCAAAACTGCCGCCTGTGCGCTTCTGCTGCTGAGCTGGAGTTCCTCTCGGGAGCAGGTGAATTAGATTAGCAGATATACGAGAGGATTTGCTCAGGGATGCTGTCATGACAGTGTAATGTCAGTGTAAAGTCTTTGACTGGAGGATATCAGGTGGTGTAATATGTACATAGGGTGGTGATAGATTTCTATGACTCATGCGGTGACATTTCTTTTGTTATCACCGCCATGTCTTCATAACCTATAAAGATGTCATCCCATACAAAATCATGCTACACTTAAAACCGTACAACACATTGACACTTCTCTTATTACTTGGGGAAATGATTTTTGAACGGAAACAAGTCTGAAACATGTCTGACTGCTTGTGATAAGACAACATTTAAATAAGTTCCTTGTTCAGTTTAAAAATAATCTAAAAGGAATATAACACGCATAATAATGCATATAATCACCTGAAAATAACAACTGTTGTGTTTTCGTTACCTTTGAATGAGCCATTTTATCTACAGAGGGAGTGAGTCGCCTTCCAGGGAGTCTGCCATCTTGAATCGCAATCTTCGTACAGTAGCCCCGAATGGACAAACCAAACATTGGCTCTAGATCGTTTTTTGTGCATTTCGTGGCCACCGTAGTTTCTCCTTCGCATTTGGAAGGGGACATTGAATCAGGAAAATCTGAAACTAGCTAGACGCCACACATCGTCATGTAAAACACAAAAACCTAAATATTTCCTATACGAAGTAAAAGAAAGCCCATTTACCTGCATTCTGACATGTCTGCAGACATCCTATTAGGTCTGTTCAAAATAAGGCATTACATTTGATTCTAAGCAGCATTGCAAAAAGTCTTCAATGCTTCAACTTCACACGACATCCTGAGGCCATGAAAACATCAAATGTAAATGTAATGTGTCATGTGGTTAGTGTGCCGCCATTCAGACATGTGTGTGCGCTGGTATTTGATTGTGAGAGAGAAGAGTGACATCTCAGACAACACTGCCTCATTGTTTTCAGGCCCGTTGTGCAGTCATGACAGGATCCCCATCAGAACCCCACGGCTAGAAAACACATATTTGCAGAGAGAGCAGGAGAGAGATCAACACACAGCACAGCGGCAGGCCCGCCTTTGTAAGCAATCATTAGTGATGTGCTGCCCAAGTTACCGGGCCTGTTCAGTCCAGAGGAGTGTTTCATGAAGGAAGAGAACCAGTTACACAGGGCCTAGTCCAGTAAATCAGGAAAATCTGTTCTATAAAGCAGGACTAAATACATTTAACCTTGTTTATAATGGATATCCCACTAGACCTGTCTAATCTCAGGTTTGTGTTTAGGCTTCGCTTCACTCAGTTTAACCAGTTTGTATTACAAATATACCTGCCAGCCTTAAACACAGTGTTCATCCCTCAGTACTGCTGGGTGATAATTCCGTATTAAGTATCAGATTTCTTAATATGTTGTTGTTCAACAATTTCCTTTCCACCAATTCATCAAGGAAATGCGTTTATCATAATACGACACACGGTTGTACAACAAAATGAAAGTTTGCTAGAACAGATGAATAACGGGCCTTTCTCGCGGGAAATGTTTCAACATGTCGCAGTAGGAAAACACAGGTGTATATAATAGTGCTGGGAGCCAGATCATTTGGCAATAAGAGCCAGCTCTCCCAACTCCTAAATGGCTCTTCATTTAGTACCACTTCTGGCTTATAATTTAGTAACGTTTTGACCTATCATTGGTATGTGTGCATATATATCACTCAAGTTATTCAGTGTTATTATACTAAACCCTTATAGTTTCTACAAAACCTTAGGTAATGCAAAAACATTGAATAATACCCAATACTATGTCAAAATGGTCAAACAGTTGATGCATAAGTTTGATTAATTAAAATCTTTAAAGATAGAGCACAGTTTATTGCTTTGAACATCAGCTTATGTGTGTTTTTGCATACATTTGTCAGAAAACAACATTGTTAGACATCGTATTAATAATGGTAATGAAGCACATTTCAACATTGCACAAAACGGTTATGTTACAATAACAGCAAAAACCAAGTAGCCTTTTTTTGTTGTTGCTAAAAACATGTATGACGTGGCTGCAGGTCCTTTTGACTGCCTTAATGTAGGGTGCAGACAGAAACTCACATTGTTTATATAGGACTTGAACCCAGAATGACATGATTACAAGGAGAGGGTTGCAACAGACTCAGCTAATACGGCAGGTCAAGGTGTCAAGAGTCAGTACTCACTAGTGGTCTATAAAGTGCTGCCAAAGGTTCTCTGTAGCTCTGTGTAAGGCATTGGTTCAGGTTGTTGAGCTCACACCAGGCTTCTCATACTAAGCTCCATTTCAACTTTCAAATCAACTTTCAACATAACCTTAACTGTCCCCCAATGGGAAGAATTTGTCTTGGAGCCAGATGCAACACTGAACACACACAGACACAGTCATGCATGTTTTTCATGGCTTCCTTTATGAGGGTAAGTTGTTAGATGGGTTTAATGTATGGAAATTGCTCCGAGGTTGTTAAGAAGTAAAAAGTGTGTGTGGCGGGGGATCCATAAACAAAGTTCCGTCTTTCTAAAGCAGCGGCCACAGCAACAGTTGTAAAAGCTCAAACTTGCAAATTCTTCCCTGATGGCTGATTTAATCCCCTAGTCTACAGCCCTGCATTCTTCCTCTTTCCCCAGATGTTTGTGTGTGTGAGTGTGTGATGAGGAGACGGGGAGAGAAAAGAGCAGACAGACAGAGAGGAAAATAGACATGTCAGTTTTGGGAAGCTTTTTTTTTTTTTTTTTTTTTTTTTTTACATGTTGTAGCCTGTAAAAGTGCTACTGGCCTGTATTTTATTTCTTCTCTTCTTCATTTTTTATGTTTAATTTGTTCAATACTCAACTTCAACTCTGATTGGCCAACACGGGCAACCCGATGTAGTACATTTCTAAAATTGCACAACACTTTTTACTGATGAACTGATAAAACAAACCTTCATGGGAAAAATGCATTGTGTGTCTGAGACTAATGGAACAATGCACTGGCTAGGGAGATTAGGCTCAAGGGTATATTTACTAAATGTTTCTACACAGAGAAGTACAGCATATATTCTTCCACAGCACAGACTGACTCAAGTGTAATGGTGCTACACTGCTCGGGCTAGCTAACGTCTGTATATTAAATGTATGTGAAATGGCTAGAAAGACAAAGACACAATCAAAATACCATGGTAAAATGTTATTGACTGTGATGCTGGGATGACTTGAAATGTGTGCTGTTTTGCATCAAAGACAAATATTTGCCAGCCAGCTTATGTGCTCTATAGCTAGATCATAAGCTGCTTACCTGCCAGATAGTAAAATGCCAACCCTGCATCAGTGCTGAAGTTTTTCAAAGTCTAAAATCCCAGAGCTTATTAAACGCGGCACTGACGTTCTAAATTAGATACTGAGATAAAACTAAACCAAATCCTTGTGGCGGATTTTATATTTTACAGTTTCTTTTGAAGGGAACCTGTGAAGTATTACGGGTTGCACCGTTTTAAAAGAACAATTCCAGTTGATTCTCGGTACCTGTTGTCTTCACATCACATGGAGCCTTTTGATGAGTTATTAAACTAATAATGTCCTATTTTTACTACAGGTCTCTCAGTCACCCTGGCAACGCTACACCCACAGAAAGGGGAGGAGCCAAGTCCTGGCAGCATGGAAGTCACTGGGACGCCAGGCTTGGCCCCGAGCCCACAGAGCGAGGCAGTGACCAGTGAGCTTCAGGAGCTGTCCCTTCAGCCTGCACCCGACCCGATGCCTCTGCAGGAGAGAAAGAATGGTGAGACTCTGTTGCATGCACACTTTTTGTCCTTTCAATCACCACTTTTAATCCCAAATTTTGGTGTTTGGTTTTGGATGGTTTCATCATCCCGGCTCAACGTTTGCATAGTCCAGTCTCGTCTGGGGAGCGCTGTGATGAGCAAACAGCAGTGCAAGCATGCATTGCAAGTAAAATGTAAATGCTGTTGTTTACCTCACAAGTGTTGGTATGAAGGGTGAAATTATAACTGGCCTAGTAGTAGTGGTAATTGTAGTAGTAGTGACAGTAGTGTTTTCTGGTTGTTTTCGAAAGGTTTCCAGTCCACGCTCATCTTCTTCCATCTTTTTTTATTGCTCATACACTATTGTGCATTAAGGACAGACGCCGGCAGTTTGCCTTGCTCAGCATGTTCAGTGGTTTCATTCAGGGATCGTCTGTCCCCGCACAATGTCCCACTCAATTCTTCTGAGCCGCTGGGTGAATGTGGTGGAAACACATCTCTCTACAGACCTCGGAGACCAACACTCTCGCTTCCAGCTCAAGTGAATATTTTGCCGGAGCACTACTCATCCTTCACAGAGGTGGCCTATTTCCAACATAAATTCCTCCAAGCTAAAAGAACATGTTACATAAGTTGAGGTTAAGTAGAAAGTGGGGGGGGGGGATAAAACACTTATCTGAGATGCAGAAGTTAAATGTCAGATGTGTCTGTGCGCCTTGTTCATTTGTCAGCGGAAAGCTTACCTCACTGCGGAGGGTGAGACATGGAGGTTTAAGTGCTCAGGTGAAACTGTGTGTAAGCGTCTGTGTACAAGGCTATGTGCGGTAAAGCCTCCAGAAAGAAGGTAGTGAAGAAGCTGCTATACCTAATTGGTTTGCTCCTCCGCGCTGACCTCTTGTTACAGTAGATTAGACGTTTGCTGTGTAAGACTCTGTGGGCCTTTTTGGTGTCTGGAGTTCGCCTGGAGCTGAGAGCACTTGGCTCTCTGTGCAGAATGACATGCAGCAGCTTCCATCGGTTTGAATCACGGTGGAAAAGTTGACTTTGCTGCATTTATGTATTGGGTTTGCTTAGGTTCACGCAGCCAAATTACAAGTGAACCAGAGCACAAGCACTCAAAGATATTTTGTTTATTTAATAGAGCTTTGTTAACATGTCTAACGTGAGCTTTTGGCGACGGGTTTAAATAAATCCCACTCAAGTCTTTGTAAGTTAAGCATAATATCATTTGTCCGCTATGAAGAAGTAATAGCTGAACATGGGCATGTGGAGCTGAACTGATGAACTGAGTTAGTCGATCAACAGAAAATGAATAGGTGTCATTTTCAGTGTCATTTTTCAAGCAGAAATGCCAAACACTGGCTGATTATAGCTTCTCAGATGTGTGGATTTGCTGCTTTTCTCTGTCATTGTATGAACTGGTGTGTCTTTTGTAAAACATGTTTAATTGACTTGATGCAAGACAGCACAATATCTTTGGGTTTTGGACTGTCCGACAAGACATTTCGAGACGTCACTTTGAGCTCTGGGAAATGAGGTTGGGCATTTTGTACAGTTAAAACATCCATTCGTTTACATTGCAGTCAGTTCATGATCGTGTTATTATGTTTTTTTTTTTCCAAGAATTGGCAACTGCTGACTTGCAGACGTAAACATTCATCTCCGAACACCCGCTTGTTTTGAGATTGTTTCCTGTTATCAGGGCCGATTACATCATCCCGTCAAATTTTTTTTTTTTTAAACCATGCCACAAGTCAGCTGATAAGAGATCAAGACAAACATTTCCAGTTGACTTGGTGCAGCTATGTAGTGCCAAATGAGATCAAGTAGCACCTTTCTCACCTGACCAGCATCTGCTAAACTGCTCTAAAGATATGTGGTGAAAATGCACCCTCAGTGTTAAACCAAGATATCATTGCAGCAACTTAAAATCACTTTTTACTTTTTTCACTTAGGCATGTGCTTCTTATTGTCTCCAGTAAAACAAAGCATCCAAATGTTAATACCACCAAGTTAGACACATTCTGTCGGGTAAGCAGAGATATCAGAGCATTGGTCACCCTGGGATAGTGATACTTCCACACATACACACACCTTGCATTATCAGAACACTCAGCCACATTGGCCATTGTTCCCAGCTGGGCGTTGGCTGCCCAGTTTTGTGGAGACACAGTTAGTTGACCTGCTGTTGATTTGTCGGGAGAGGAAGGCTAGGCAAGGTAGGGCCAGTAAATGATTGACGATCTTTAGGGGGAGCCCCAACAGTGGCTGAGAATAAAGCACAACAGCACGTACAATAAAAGTCAACAGTAGAAAAAGAAAGTTAGGGAAGTGCAACGAGCCTTAACCATGGAAGTAATACAGGCAGCAAAAACATTATTTATGGTATATGAACAATATTTCAAACGATTTTACATCATTTCAGAAATGTTTAAGAATGGCAGAATGATAAGTAGTCACAGGACCATGTTTACCTCACAGAAACACACAGACACACACACAGACACACACACACAGCCTCAGGCTACCACTCCCAAATTTAAACAACCCCTGCTCTTGTTGGCCCTTTCCTTACACACTTAATTCTGCTAGCCAGAAGCAGGCATGTTGCTGCAGGCACTCCTGTAGCTAATCTTACACGAAGATGCTTTCAGAGCGCTGCAGAGATGCATTGCATGTGACTGCATGTGCATGTCTATATGTATGCATGTGTGGCAGTGAAACATAATGGAATGCCCCTATAAAGCTTATCAAAGCCTTATCTCTGACAGCAGGTTATGCAATGTGTATTTGCACAAGGTTCCTTCCTCAGTCATGGGCAAGCGCTGGGAGATTTATTGTTAAACACGCGCATGTGTGTGTATATATAGATAGAGGTGACATGTTTTTCAGGATGAGGATCAGAGACAGATGTTTAGGTTCATGTGCACCAGAGAGAGAGAGAGAGAGAGAGAGAGCTTTGATTCAAGACATAAAGGCTGACACAACAGAGAATGGCCTTTTAAGACAATTTACATTTCCTGTCTTCCCAGTCACAAACTTGCCTTGCAAACAAAAGCGGTCGCCCTATGATACTCTGACTGAAATCATTCAAAACTTTGAGGTGGAGAAGCTAGTTCAAGTGTGGGAGTGCGGGCTGCAACAGCGGCAGCAGCAGAAGAAGGAGGAAGGGGAAGAGAGGAGGGGGAGGTCATGTCTGAAATGGCAGTATTGCATAACTTCTCAGAGAGGGAACAGAAGGAAAGCGAGGGAAAATGAAAAGCAAGAAAGGAGGGGGCGTGTTACATGTACATGAGGAGGTGAGGCTTGGCACCAGCTTGTTTTTCTTTTTCGAATTTTTTTTTTTACTTCCAAACTGGCTGAGAGAGTGCAGAGGAGTGACCAAAAGTTTTCAACAAGTACATGGGAGTGAAACAAGAGGTGTAGCCACGGAGAGATTGGAACCTCTGGGTGGACCTTGTTGTTATCCAAGGAGCAATAAGCGACAGACCTTCACACGCCCTCTCTGCTGGGGCGTGCACACACTTGTAGACAGACAGTCAAGAGAATGGGAATGTGAGGTGCACTGCTACCTGTGGAGTACCAGCTGCCGGTGAGAGGAAAACGTGTTTAATGTGGCTTTTCTGTTGCTGGAACTTCTCTTCAGCCTTCTACCGCTGTTGTGTGTCTCTCTATACATTGTGCTTGTGTTGGGAGTATGAATCGCTAATCTTGCTGCCGGGAGGGTGAAGCTTCCCTACAGCATGGTGCAGAGGGATATGACTATCCCGTCAGGTAAAGTCCCTTTGAGTACGCTACCTTCTGCTTTCATGTCTGTGTGTTTTTAAAAATGATGACAATGATTGACAGTTACCTGTAAAGTAAGGTGAGCTTTGCTGACTGCAGGTGTGGTGTGAGCTGTTGCATGTATTTGTAATTGTTAAGTGTATTGACACTGCAGTCTCAAGGGTTGGTGTACTTGTTGTTGGCGTGAGAATGGGTGCTTCTGCTGATAGCTGAAAAAGTGTCCTTACTGTGCTCACACATGCCGTTACTATCAACCAAACCTGGTAGCATTTAGGCTCGGAAAATGATCATCTTTATCAGTTATATTGGAGGGCTGCATAACGAGTTGGCTGTGTAGATTTTAACTGCTGCCGCAAGGGAAATATTCTTTAACTTGATGGTTAAAAGTAGAAATAAACCGACAACTTCCAGATGTTACAGTTAACGATGTAGAGCCTGTAAAAGCTCTTCCATCATGTCATCAGTCTGAGCTAGTGACAAATTGACCATACAGTATGTAGTGTGTAAATATAGTTTCCAGGGTTTCACCTCAGAGGGTTCCCAGAACAAAAGGGAACAGTGAGGCCAGGTGTGCGGGGTCTCTCCTGAGCAACACTGGGCGGAGGAGGGTGTTGAGTAGTTTCAAAGGTGTGGTTGGTGAATTGGGCTCTTCTCAGAAAGTGACGCCCTCCCCCCCTTCAATCAATGCTGCTGTCAACTGTCCAGCAAATGCGCCGCTGCTCCCTAAAGACTGACTCCAAGCCAGGGGCCAGTGTCCAGATAGTGCTGGAGAGTTAGAGGTTGGCTGAGGGAAGAGGAACAGAGAACACAGCCTGGGCTCGCTGAAGGAGACCGGAGCTGGAGGGGGAAAGTAGGTTAGAGGCGTCACAGACTCCGCTCCAGATTCGAGTGGAAATGACCCACTCACTTCAGTCAGAACAGATTGTTCCAGATCATAACACGGACTACGGGTACAACTGCCGAGACTAGAAAGTGGATTGTCAATGATAAATGCAGTAAGACAGTGTTATATGTGTGTGCCTGCACATCCTCAGGAAGCCTGAACAGGGATTTTTTAATCATGTACCACTGTGGCTTGAGAGTCCGCAGGTTTTTTGATCCAACCAAATACTATAGCGACTGATTTCACTGGTTGTTGCACCTACAACCAGTGACAGGGGCTTATCAAACAAATTGGCTATGAATATCAGACCCTGAATTGACCACTGTGATCTTTTTATCACTGTTTACC